AAATGTGTCGGAAACAGAATAATAGCATAGATATCAAATAGCGATTGTGAAATGTTTGTCTGGAAATTTTGTTATTCTTATGTCTGGAAGATTCGTATCTAGCCAATCAGCGTTCTTTTAACTAAGGTGTCCCGCAAAGATAAGGAACAATTGTCTGTGATTTATTTAGCTTTCAGTCGAAGTAATCTTTCATATCAGTCGAGTCGAGGAGTTGTGACAGCTGTAAAACCTAGCGAGAATAGAAGAGGAGAAGAATAAAAAATCTAGTGAAGACGTGACGGTGTGGGCTATCCTTACTAATTCCCCACATTTGTGGCACCTCCGACGGGACCTGCAGTGATTTGGACAACCTGTTAGTCAATGGAAGCTAAACTGGAGGCAGAACTTCAGCTTCTAAAGCTTGCACGAGGAAGGACGAAATCTGTCGTGGAGAAGGGAAATATCGAGAAGATCACTCGACATAAAGAAACTCTGGGAAAGATTGTGGCATCTATAGAAGACTTGAAGCTAGACATCGAGAAAGGTAAGCTTGAAGCGGGAAAAGGCATTGACGAAGTTGATGAATGGGGAAAAATTATCGAGCAAACGATTGATGATGTAGATAAAGAAGTAGAAGATTTAAATCGTCATCTCGAAGAAGCTGGGGCAAAAGCAATAAACAAAAAACGGGAAGAGGAAGAGGCTCTTCTAGCCAAAAGGAGGGAGGATGAACTGAACTTTGAAAACCTTAAACTTGAGCAAAAATCAAAAATGCAGTTGCCCGATCAGTCCGCCGAAAAACCCCTAAGTAAGGGAAATGTCAAAATGCCAAAGCTGGTAATTACGAAATATGACGGTACCTACGAAAAGTGGCTTTCCTTTTGGAACAAGTTCAAAGCGGAAATCGATGCAGCCGATATTCCCCCGGTTACTAAATTTGCTCACCTCAAAGAATTACTGGAAAGTGATGTTTGTGAATCAATCGATGGCCTCCCATTTAGTCCTGAAGGTTATGTACGTGCTAAAAATATCTTGAAGTCCAATTATGGCAAGACAAGCGAGATTGTGAGAGCGTATATTGATAACATCAATGGTTTACCTGTGGTGACCGGATGCATCCCTAATGAAATTCATAAATTTTGTCAGACTTTGAACTACAATGTTCAATCATTAGAGACCCTAGGTAAACTTTCTGGGTGTTTATTTATGGTGCGTGGCGTCCTAGACAAATTGCCAGACATAAAGGCAGACCTCGTGAGCGGAAAACCGGGATGGCAAGATTGGGGTTTCGGGGACCTTATGCAGGCTTTAGAAGAATGGAAAGCCATTCATCCGATGGAAACTCTGGGGGTAGAAAAGGCAAACGAAACGTCTCCGACTCCGCCGATTTATCACCCGCCGCGTCCGCCGCGTCCGCCGCGTCCCCCACGTTTGCCTCGTGACAGAAGTTTCTACGCGCGACAGGGCGAACCCAACCCACGACACGCGTGTGTCTACTGCGATCGCGTGACACACAGATCTTGGGAGTGTGAGAACGTGACATCTCCAGCGGAGCGCCGTCGCATTCTACAAAACAAACGCTTGTGCTTCAACTGCACTGGGCCTCAACACAGCGCTTCACAATGCCGAAGCCGCGCATCTTGCGTACACTGCATACAAAGGCACCACTCATCTATTTGCGACCGACCGTCGGCAACTGGACGCCAAAGAGCGAACAACGGCGGAGTGGCTCTAACTGCAACTCAAGAAGGAGAGAAAGTCTGCCATCCAATCGTACTTGTCAAGTTGAATGGCGTGACCTGTAGAGCCCTACTGGACACCGGTGCGACTGCGTCTTATGCTTCAGGATACATCTTGGATCGTCTAAACCTCGTACCAGCTCGCACTCTAACACGCCGTATACAAACTATCGTGGGCATAGTGACTAAGCGGACAGAAACTTACAATACGCAAGTGAGTGACACTAAAGGAAACAATGCAATTTCATAACGAGTAACTAGAGTAGACCGCGCTGAACTTTTGTCCGTGGAAAATCCTAACTATAAGGAGATGATCAGCAAATACCGCCATCTGGAAGGCGTTTCAATGGAAGACATCGACACTAAGAGCTTACTTCCGGTCCATGTTATTCTGGGCGCGAGTGACTACGCGAAGATAAAAACTCGAGAATCCCAACGCACCGGAGCTATCGGCGAGCCTGTGGCTGAGTACACTCTTTTTGGATGGACCATCATGTCACCAGGAACGGAGACAGACCTGGACAGGATGTTTCTAGCGCAGACGGCCTCGAATGACTATGAAGAGCTTTACCGGATGGACGTCCTAGGACTCGAAGACAAACCTAATGGCGATCAGAGCGTTGTTTATGAAGAATTCCTTGAACAACTCAGCCGCAGCCCTGAGGGTTGGTATGAAACTGGCCTTCCCTGGAAAGGGGACCATCCTCCGTTGCCCTCTAACAAGTCTGGAAGCTTAAAGCGACTGGGGAGCCTAGTCCAACGACTTAAGAAGACAGGAAGGCTAGACGACTATGACGCTATCATACAAGAACAGCTTAATGAAGGAATTATTGAAGAAGCAGAGATGCCAGCAACTCAAAGAGAATTCTACATCCCGCACAAAGCAGTAGTGAGAGAGAGTGCAGAAACTACCAAGATGCGTATTGTCTACGATGCCTCAGCAAGAGCGTACGACTCAGCCCCTTCCCTAAACGACTGTCTGGAAGTTGGACCACCCCTGCAGAATCAACTATGGAAGGTACTCCTAAGGGGACGGTTTCATTCAGTGGCTATCGCTGGCGATATTCGCAAAGCATTTCTTCAAGTGCGTATCCGAGAGCAGGACCGAGATGCGCTGCGGTTTCATTGGTTGGAAAGCAAGGATCCTTTTCGTGTTCGCACGTACCGATTCACCAGAGCTCTGTTTGGTTTGGGACCCTCGCCGTTTCTGCTTGGCGGTGTAATTCAGCACCATCTGAACACTTGCAGACCTACACACCCTGATCGCGTAGCAGAAATCGAGCGAGAACTGTACGTTGACGATCTCATTTCGGGTGGAGGTACTATCCAAGAAGCGAAACAAAAGAAAGCTGCAGCAACTGAGATGTTCCACCAGGCCACCTTCCACTTACACAAGTGGCATTCAAACGTGACTGAACTAGAGCTCACTGAAGAAACTGAAACTGGGGATGACTTAAGCTACGCCAAGCAACCGAATCAAGCCGAGAGAATGTGGGCTGCTTGGTTTAAAGTGGAACAAACTGACGGACGAAGTTGGAGTTACAATTCCAGAGGAAGTTGCCCAACCGACAAAGAGAGGGATTCTGGGAAAAGTGGCGAGGATCTATGACCCCCTTGGTCTTATCGCTCCAATCACCCTGCAAGGAAAGCTTCTGTACCGCGATGCCTGTGAAGAGAAACGTGCATGGGACGCTCCGTTATCCACCCCCCTAGAACAGCAGTGGCAGAAGTGGGAACGTTCCTTGCCGCAACACGTAACTTGTCCACGAGCACTCACCAGCGTCCAAGAACCTATCGAGGACATTAAACTTCATGCTTTTGGAGACGCGAGCGGAAAGGGCGTGGCCGCTTCTGTGTACGCTGTGGTCAGACAGTCAAGCGCAATCAACCAAGGCCTGGTTACAGCAAAGGCAAGACTGGCCAAACAAGGGCTGACAATACCTCGCCGCGAACTGGTCTCCGGTCACATGGCTGTAAATCTTCTGACCAACGTACGAGATGCACTGCAAGGATTCCCTGTGACTTCGCTGCATTGTTGGCTTGACAGCAGCGTGGCCTTACATTGGATACTAGGAGGAGGAGACTATAAGCAGTTTGTGGCCAACCGGGTACGAAAAATTAGAGAACACTCTGATGTTGTCTGGAGGCACGTACCTACTCAGGATAATCCTGCAGATCTTGCTAGCCGAGGTGGACTGGTAACTGAGGAGAACCAACTGTGGTGGAAGGGACCAGAGTGGCTAAGTGATCCTGTGAAATGGCCAGCCGACCTTGTGACCGCGCCCACCGCTGAATCTAACGCAGAAATGAAGGCTACAAAGGAGCTCTTTGCCATGGCCGTTAAAGCTGATGACGATCTAGACCATCTTCTGGCCAAGCACAACTACTGGAAGACTTTGCGAGTGTGCGCTTGGATTATGCGGTTCGCAAACAACGCTAGAGCGAAAAGAGCGACAAGAACAAAGGGACCCCTGACAACAGACGAAATTGAGAAGCAGAAACACTTTTGGTTGCTACGCGTACAGAGCCGGGGAAGTGAAAGCATGGAGGAAGATCGCCTGTGCCTAAACTTACAGAAGAACAAAGATGGATTGCTTGAGTGCCGTGGGAGACTGCAAGGGGTCTATCCGATATACATCCCAGACGCCACAACGTTCGCAAACAAATATGTCGAACACGTCCACAAAGCCACTCTTCACGGGGGAGTGGGGCTTACTATGGCTAAAGTGAGAGAAGAGTTCTGGATTCCCCGCCTGAGGCGCCTCGCGAAGAAAGTCATCAGGGAGTGTTATGGGTGCAAACGCTTCCAGGCGGTTGCGCTCGCAGCTCCACCCCCCGGTTTATTGCCTCTGGAGAGAACTGAGGGCTCAACTCCCTTTGAAATTGTTGGAGTAGATTTTGCTGGGCCGATCAAGTACCGCAAGTCCTCTCGTGTAGAAGGAAAAGGCTATCTGGTGCTCTACACGTGCAGTTTAACGAGAGCCTTGTACTTGGAGGTCCTGCCTAATCTGGAAACTTCTACCTTTCTTTCAAGCATGAAGCGTTTCATCGCTAGACGTGGACGACCTTTAAAGATCTTTTCAGACAATGGAAAAACGTTCGTAGGAGCGGCAAACCTACTGAAAGGAATTCAGAAAGATGAGCAAGTTCAAGGCTACCTTGCATCAGAGAAGATTATCTGGAGGTTTAACCTAAGTCGAGCACCCTGGTGGGGTGGCCAGTTTGAGCGACTAGTGGGCCTCTTCAAACGTGCATTCTATAAAGTAATTGGTGGAGGAATGCTATCCTGGTCAGAGCTGTGCGAAGTCGTGCTGGATGTTGAAACTCAACTAAATCGCCGCCCCCTGTCCTATGTAGAAGATGACGTCCAGCTCCCTCTACTCACCCCATCTTCTTTCCTATTCCAAAGATGTATTCGCCTCCCTGAACAAGAACCATGGCGAGAGGATACAACTGACCTACGAAAGCGTGCCAAGTATTTGAGGTCTTGTAAGGACGCTGTGTGGAGACGCTGGTCTCGAGAGTACTTGGCGGCGCTCAGAGAGCGTCACAACTGCAATGGAAAAGGCAAGGCGAGGCCCTTAAAGCCTGGTGACGTCGTTCTCATTCGTTCAGAAGAAAAGAACCGAGGAAAGTGGCCATTAGGAGTGGTCGCTAAACTATTCAACGGCCGTGATGGAATTGTACGTGGAGTGAAGCTGCGCGCAGGGAAAACGTTTCTGGAGAGGCCGATTCAACACCTTTATCCCATGGAACTAGCATGCGATAGAGCGCCGGAGAGAGCTGACGTCCTTACCCCCCTGAATGCTAAAGCGCCAGTTTTTCGTCCACGGAGAGATGCTGCGGTTGCCGCAAACTTGCGTATTCGTGACGCTATAGAGAGTGAAGAACTTTAAACCTAAACGCAGGACAGACCTGTGCGGATGGACGGAGAATTAAAGTGATTTCAGCGGACTTTGACATTCATTACTTTGTTTTGTTTTGTTTCTGATTTNACCAGAGCTCTGTTTGGTTTGGGACCCTCGCCGTTTCTGCTTGGCGGTGTAATTCAGCACCATCTGAACACTTGCAGACCTACACACCCTGATCGCGTAGCAGAAATCGAGCGAGAACTGTACGTTGACGATCTCATTTCGGGTGGAGGTACTATCCAAGAAGCGAAACAAAAGAAAGCTGCAGCAACTGAGATGTTCCACCAGGCCACCTTCCACTTACACAAGTGGCATTCAAACGTGACTGAACTAGAGCTCACTGAAGAAACTGAAACTGGGGATGACTTAAGCTACGCCAAGCAACAACTCGGAATCAAGCCGAGAGAATGTGGGCTGCTTGGTTTAAAGTGGAACAAACTGACGGACGAAGTTGGAGTTACAATTCCAGAGGAAGTTGCCCAACCGACAAAGAGAGGGATTCTGGGAAAAGTGGCGAGGATCTATGACCCCCTTGGTCTTATCGCTCCAATCACCCTGCAAGGAAAGCTTCTGTACCGCGATGCCTGTGAAGAGAAACGTGCATGGGACGCTCCGTTATCCACCCCCCTAGAACAGCAGTGGCAGAAGTGGGAACGTTCCTTGCCGCAACACGTAACTTGTCCACGAGCACTCACCAGCGTCCAAGAACCTATCGAGGACATTAAACTTCATGCTTTTGGAGACGCGAGCGGAAAGGGCGTGGCCGCTTCTGTGTACGCTGTGGTCAGACAGTCAAGCGCAATCAACCAAGGCCTGGTTACAGCAAAGGCAAGACTGGCCAAACAAGGGCTGACAATACCTCGCCGCGAACTGGTCTCCGGTCACATGGCTGTAAATCTTCTGACCAACGTACGAGATGCACTGCAAGGATTCCCTGTGACTTCGCTGCATTGTTGGCTTGACAGCAGCGTGGCCTTACATTGGATACTAGGAGGAGGAGACTATAAGCAGTTTGTGGCAAACCGGGTACGAAAAATTAGAGAACACTCTGATGTTGTCTGGAGGCACGTACCTACTCAGGATAATCCTGCAGATCTTGCTAGCCGAGGTGGACTGGTAACTGAGGAGAACCAACTGTGGTGGAAGGGACCAGAGTGGCTAAGTGATCCTGTGAAATGGCCAGCCGACCTTGTGACCGCGCCCACCGCTGAATCTAACGCAGAAATGAAGGCTACAAAGGAGCTCTTTGCCATGGCCGTTAAAGCTGAAGACGATCTAGACCATCTTCTGGCCAAGCACAACTACTGGAAGACTTTGCGAGTGTGCGCTTGGATTATGCGGTTCGCAAACAACGCTAGAGCGAAAAGAGCGACAAGAACAAAGGGACCCCTGACAACAGACGAAATTGAGAAGCAGAAACACTTTTGGTTGCTACGCGTACAGAGCCGTGGAAGTGAAAGCATGGAGGAAGATCGCCTGTGCCTAAACTTACAGAAGAACAAAGATGGATTGCTTGAGTGCCGTGGGAGACTGCAAGGGGTCTATCCGATATACATCCCAGACGCCACAACGTTCGCAAACAAATATGTCGAACACGTCCACAAAGCCACTCTTCACGGGGGAGTGGGGCTTACTATGGCTAAAGTGAGAGAAGAGTTCTGGATTCCCCGCCTGAGGCGCCTCGCGAAGAAAGTCATCAGGGAGTGTTATGGGTGCAAACGCTTCCAGGCGGTTGCGCTCGCAGCTCCACCCCCCGGTTTATTGCCTCTGGAGAGAACTGAGGGCTCAACTCCCTTTGAAATTGTTGGAGTAGATTTTGCTGGGCCGATCAAGTACCGCAAGTCCTCTCGTGTAGAAGGAAAAGGCTATCTGGTGCTCTACACGTGCAGTTTAACGAGAGCCTTGTACTTGGAGGTCCTGCCTAATCTGGAAACTACTACCTTTCTTTCAAGCTTGAAGCGTTTCATCGCTAGACGTGGACGACCTTTAAAGATCTTTTCAGACAATGGAAAAACGTTCGTAGGAGCGGCAAACCTACTGAAAGGAATTCAGAAAGATGAGCAAGTTCAAGGCTACCTTGCATCAGAGAAGATTATCTGGAGGTTTAACCTAAGTCGAGCACCCTGGTGGGGTGGCCAGTTTGAGCGACTAGTGGGCCTCTTCAAACGTGCATTCTATAAAGTAATTGGTGGAGGAATGCTATCCTGGTCAGAGCTGTGCGAAGTCGTGCTGGATGTTGAAACTCAACTAAATCGCCGCCCCCTGTCCTATGTAGAAGATGACGTCCAGCTCCCTCTACTCACCCCATCTTCTTTCCTATTCCAAAGATGTATTCGCCTCCCTGAACAAGAACCATGGCGAGAGGAGACAACTGACCTACGAAAGCGTGCCAAGTATTTGAGGTCTTGTAAGGACGCTGTGTGGAGACGCTGGTCTCGAGAGTACTTGGCGGCGCTCAGAGAGCGTCACAACTGCAATGGAAAAGGCAAGGCGAGGCCCTTAAAGCCTGGTGACGTCGTTCTCATTCGTTCAGAAGAAAAGAACCGAGGAAAGTGGCCATTAGGAGTGGTCGCTAAACTATTCAACGGCCGTGATGGAATTGTACGTGGAGTGAAGCTGCGCGCAGGGAAAACGTTTCTGGAGAGGCCGATTCAACACCTTTATCCCATGGAACTAGCATGCGATAGAGCGCCGGAGAGAGCTGACGTCCTTACCCCCCTGAATGCTAAAGCGCCAGTTTTTCGTCCACGGAGAGATGCTGCGGTTGCCGCAAACTTGCGTATTCGTGACGCTATAGAGAGTGAAGAACTTTAAACCTAAACGCAGGACAGACCTGTGCGGATGGACGGAGAATTAAAGTGATTTCAGCGGACTTTGACATTCATTACTTTGTTTTGTTTTGTTTCTGATTTCAATTTAATTATTAATTAAGCTGGCCGTTTCCTCTGTTTACATGTGCTTCCGTTTGGAAGGCACATGGGGGGAGTGTGTCGGAAACAGAATAATAGCATAGATATCAAATAGCGATTGTGAAATGTTTGTCTGGAAATTTTGTTATTCTTATGTCTGGAAGATTCGTATCTAGCCAATCAGCGTTCTTTTAACTAAGGTGTCCCGCAAAGATAAGGAACAATTGTCTGTGATTTACTAGACTGTCTAGAAAAGGAAGTTTGCCATTTCCTTCGACTTCTCTGGTAAACTGTATCTCGCTGTTTTGTCCATTAAGGCAGTGACGGAATACGTCAATTTTGTCGTGTCGTAAGGTGGTGAATGTGTTGTCAACATAGTGTAACCAAAGCGGCATCGTTTCTGGGTAAGTAGATGGGCCCTTTCGACCTGCCCAAAAGTGATACCGCTTTGGTTACGCTACATTGACGACACATTCACTGCTGTACGACATGACGAAATTGATGCATTCCACCACCACCTTAATGGACAAAACACTGACATACAGTTTGACCAGAGAAGTCAGAGAAAATGGCAAACTTCCTTCTCTTGACTGTCTGGTAAGCCGTGACGACAACTCACTACAGACGACAGTTTACAGGAAACCGACACACACCAACAGACTACTAGATGATTCATCTTACAACCCTACATCACACAATGCCACAATTATCAGAACTCTACCACAACATGCACAACTAGGATGCAACATGCCAGACAGCTAATCTCACGAGAACAAATACCTTTACCATGTTTTTTCAAAGAACGACTACAATGACGACTTCACTTAACGAAATACTAATCGAACTACTACTACTACCAAGACAAACGACACTGCAACTCCTACGACTACAGCAACCATACCGTACATAAAAGGCATGTCTGAGAACATCTTGTGCATCTTACAACCCTTCAACATCTGCATCACCCACAAACCCACCACCCCACAACACCAGTCACTAACCAACATTAAAGACAAGGATGAACTGAGGAACAGACAGGGAGCAATTTATAAGATCGATTGCCCCGACTGCCAAGCCTCCTACATCGGAGAGACTGGCAGAAACCTCGAAACAAGACTGACTGAACACAGAGAGGCCACAAGGAAAGGTGATGTCAACAATCACATTGCTGAACATCATCGACTTCCGAACCTCAATATTGTCATGGGACTCTGCCAAATGCCTAACCTAAAGCATTAACTACTTTCAATGACTGACTCTGGGAAGCCGGTTTACTAACTTGAAACAGACTCCCTAAACAGCTTTCAACTACTACCAGCTCCATACAAACGACTCATTTATGACATTAACATTACAAACGAACTGAACAGAACAACCTAACTTTACTGATGGATCGAAACAG